AGTTTGGTAGAAACTAGGGATAGACCAACGTTTTACACCCTATACCAAAGATAAAATATAAGATAAGATAAAAATGGGTATATAATTTAAACATAAAGGTAATACTATAAACAAATTAGAAGAGCAAGGAATAGTTTGCCCATCAGATCTATGGAGAAGGGACAAATTGATGATCAAACAAGAGACAGAGAGCATTATGAGATGTAAAACGGACAATTTTTTATTATATTAAATCCAAAAAGTTTGCACAAACAATACCAATGCAATCAAGATTCAAGGAAAGCAGAAATCTGAGAAACAATTTTTATAGCAGGTGTCTCAGATAAAGGCCTCATTTCTCAAATAGAAAGAAAAATTATTCAAATTTATAAGAATTCAAGTCATTCCCCAAAGGAAATGAATGGGCAGTTTTCAGGTGAAGAAATCAAAGCTAACTACAATCACATGAAAAAATACTCTAAATCACTATTGATTAGAGAAATGCAAATTAAAATAATTCTGAGGTACCACCTAATACCTGTCAGATTGGCTAATATGACAAAAAAGGAAAAATAATAAATGTTGGGGGATGTGGAAAATTGGGACACTAATATACTGTTGCTGGAATTGTGAATCATTCTGGAGAGCAATTTGGAACTATACCCAAAGGGCTATAAAACTGTGCATACTCTTAGATCCAGTAAAAAGAGATTTTAAAAAAGGTTGAAATGGGAAGAATTTATTTGTACAAAAATAGTTATAGCAGCTCTTTTTGTGATGGCAAAGAACTGGAAATTGAGGGGATGTCCATCGATCAGGGAATGGCTAGACAAGTTGTAGTATATGATTGTAATAGAATGTATTACTGTGCTATAAGAAATGATGAGTAGGACGGTTTCAGAAAAACCTGGATAGAACTGATGCAAAGTGAGCAAAACCTGGAGAACCTTGTACATAATAAGAGCAATACTGTACAACGAACTTTGAATGACTTAGCTATTCCCAGCAGTACAATGATCTAAGACAATTCCAATGGACTCATGATGAAAAATGCTGTCGACCTCCAGAGAAAGAATTGATGGAGTCTGAATGCAGATTAAAGCATACTATTTTTCACTTTCTGTATTTTTTGTAGATTGTTTTTCCTTTAGGTCTATGTTTTCTTTAACAACATGACTAATATAATAATAGGTTTTGCATGATTGAAAATGTATGACCTATATCAAATTGCTTAGTGTCTCAGGGAGGGGGAAGGTAAGGGAGGGAGAGTGAAAATTGGGAACTCAAAAAATATTTAGATCAATGTTAAAAATTGTATTTACATGTAAGTGGGGAAAATAAAATATTTATTTTTTAAAAAGTAAACTACTTCTAACAGTCCATTCTCTTTCATATTTCTATTCTAAGGAGAACCTTCTTTTAATTCATACTGTTAAAGCATCCAGTAGTACAAAATGTGGCTATTGACCAAGAAGGGGTTTGGTGAGTTTGTGCAGCATGCTTAAATGATTAAATCCCCTTGGGGAAGAGGCTGGGGAACATGACTCTGGAAAGGCATGATGACATGTCATGGAAGGGTTTCCCTCCCCAACTGCAAGCATGTGCTGACCTTCTGTAACTGGTTCCAGTCTACTAAGTGTGTGGTGAAGAGACAGACCATTGATTGGCTATGGAGCCAGAACTGGCCAAAGCAGCAGTCTTTTCCTTTACTCTTTCCTAACTGGCCACTGTTTGGCCAAAGAGGATGAACAACTTTGGGCCTCCAGGGCTGGCCTTCATGGCCCTAATGATGATTTTGCCTCTATTGTCCCTGTCACTATTCGTAATTTTACCTGAAAGAGTACTGATGAAGGCTATGGCATTATGAGCTTCAGAAAGTCAGGACAGTAAGCTACCCAAAGTCCAGAAGCAGTTATCAAATATCAAAATTTTGCAACAGCCAGATTGGGGGATGGGGTGACAATATCCCTAGGAATCTGTATAACTCAACACAGAATAAAGGCAGACAAGAGGGAATTATACCAAGTGAGCTTGGTAAAGTGAATGTTACATAGAAATTACTTTAACTTTGAACCCATTCTCCCCAGGGACCAAATTGGTACAGTAAATATCCCTTTGTGAAACCTTTTTTATGTTAGTTGGTTAAATGAAACTAGTACACTAATTATTGGAAGGAAAACACACCAGTGATAGTTCAAGGCAATGGCATTAGAGAAAGACACCTCCCTCAGTCTCTCAGGAGTACCTCTAGAACTCTGAGGAGATGGAGATGTCCTAGGACAGTGAGTCTAGATTATCACTACATACACATTCCAACCTAAAATTTCATACTAACTCTACTTTGATGATTTGGAGATAATGAATTCTGCATGAATAAGAAAATTTATCCACACCACATATCTATGGTTTCCTGATATGAAGACTGAACTGGAAGTCAGAAAACCTGGGTTCTTAAACCAGCCCTATTCTGAATTAGCTACATGTGTAATAGGACAAGTTATTTAACCCTTCTCCTCAGGTTCTTGATGGAGTTCTCATATTTTAAAAATAGGAGTGATAGAGTTCAATGCTGTGAGAATTACTCAAAACCATCAATGATTTTGATGAGGTTTCATTTTGTGATAGCAATGGTCATGTGTGTAAGCTTCTAGTGATATTAGGTTGACTCAGAATATCTGGCCTTGAGCAGATGAAACCAGACTTAGCTTAACACTTAGTCCTCCATTAAGGGAGTGCTGGATTTTTATGCCATATGCTTGTGTTTCATCACTCTTATTTGTCCTGTTTTAAATTCTATGTCTTTTTAAGAAGTTATTACTCAAAGGAAATGTGCAAAAGTTATAGCTCTTAAAGAACACAATTCTATGACTATTAGAGATATTGCAGGGACTGTTGGTGTGGGGAACTCAATCATTTCAAGCATCACTCCAGCCCACAATAAAACAGGATCAGTCTTACTGTAGTGCAAAGGAATGTGCAGGTGCAAATGAAAACCATCACCTGTCAGCAAGACTGGCAACATATTGCTGTAAAGTAGCTTAGTTAATCTATCAGAAAACAAGCAAAAGCCTTGAAAATGACCTGACATACTCTTAGGTCAGATATAATGGGGAGGAAGGGGCAGAAATATAAAATCCCTCTTGCAGGGTGGGCAGGGAAAGAGTAAGCACCCAACCATGGCCTTTTCCCCTGCTCCACTCAAGAAGGAAACTGCAGGCTGCCTTGAAAAGGAGTTGGGGAGCTTCCAGAGTTAATTATCCATTCTATCTCAAAGCCACATCTATATACTTAAACAAATCATAACCACATCACATTTCACATGTGCACATCAACCAAGTATAACAATGATTCATGTTTATATAATTGTTCAGGATCAGTAAATCAATTTCCTTGTGCTGTAAAGTACCTGATATGTGCGAGAACTATTATCCCTCTTTAATATATGGGAAAAAATTGAGATTTTGAGAAATTAAGATACCATATTATGGCTCCATAGATAATAACTATCTGAGGCAAAAGTCAAACTCAAGGCCCTTTACAGGAAAATATTCTTTCCACCACAATATGCTGTCTTACTTCCTTTATCAATTAGTTGCTTAATTTGTAATGATATTAATAAAGAATCTAATTTTATGAAAAAGCAGCATTATGGTCTAGTGTAAAGCATGCTAAACTTAGAGTCACAGGCCCTGAGTTTGAATAATAGCTCTACTCCCTTACTATCTGTGTGTTGGGCAAGTCACTCAGCCACTCAGGCCCTCGGTTTCTTCATTTGTAGAATATGATGGGTGAACCTGATGGGCCTTAAGGTCTCATGCTCTTCTATATCTGTGGTCCTATATCCTAAATGACAGAATTGGCTTTGACTGAAAGAAGAATTCATTCTTGAGGATTACAATGAAAAAGTCACCACTATCATCTGGTAGAAGGAAAATAGAAATTGATAAAACAGGTAATTTAGAGAGAATGGCATTAGATTGTACTTAGGTGGTTGTATTTCTTTAAATTTCATCCTAAGCTATACATCACATTATATGAAGATAAATTTGAGATTAACCAGTATTAATGATATCCTAATATCATTAAGTAATTAAGTACTTACTGTTACTACTAGTACTTACTAGTAGTACTTAATTAATACTAATAAAGTATCTTACTAGTTGCCTTTAAGTGACAATCAATCTTGATATGTGACACTGCTTTGTGACAAGTAATACCTTCTCTGAGTGACATTTATCCACCTCATAATGCTCTGAGTACTCCTCCACTTTATCTGGGTGACACTAATCTCCACTCTCTGGGTAACAAAGAACACTAGTGCTTCTCACAGAGCCCTAGGTTGTTCTATCTAAGAGGGATCTCAGATCATCTACTCCAGCCCTCTCATTTTATAGATGAGGAAACTGTGGTTTAGAGATGTTAACTGGCTTAACTGAAGTCTCACAGCCAATGAATGACAGAATTGGGACTCAAATCCTGCCCTTGTCATTCTAAGTCCAGTTACCTGTACAACTATAGGACTCTGACCTTTCCTTTCCTGTTTGAAATGAGGAAACCTACTGTTTATGTGAAATTGGATCCTTACCTGTTTAGGGAACAAACCATTCTCCTTCATGTGACTCTCATCCTTCCTTTCTCAGTGTGACACAGAATCCTGCATCCATTTGCATCTTAGCAAAAAGCTGTTTGGACTTTCATCCACTAATTTAAAGTTACAACCCAAGTTGCTGACTGACTCAAAGCCTGGTCTACAATACACCAACAGATCTTCTTGGAAGGAAACTGTGAAGGTCTCCTGACGACAGCTCTTCAGCCTAGATACCCTCTGCCCTATCCTCCCAAGGCAGGAATATAACCATTGAAGAAAACAGATTACTGCCAGAAAGCAGCAGCAAGTATCTCCCTCTTTTGGACCAAGGTCAGAGAAACTCTGGAAAAGCAGGGAGGTGGCTCAGTAGAGATCTGGAATCAGGCCTGACAATCCTTCTGCAAACATGACCAAGTTAGTCCAAAAAGCGTTTATGATTATGACAACCAGTGAGTCAATTCTGGGCATTTGCTGTAATGGTTTCGTTTGGTTAGTGAATTGCATCAACTTAGTCAAGAGCAAGAAAATGTCTTTGTCTGAATTTGTCATCACCAGCTTGGCCATCTCCAGGATTTGTTTGCTTTGGATGATCATAGCTGATGTTTTCACTGTCTTCTATACTGATTTGAAAGAAACAAGCATAACAATACAAATAATTTTTATGTTATGGACTTTTGCTAACTTCTTAAGTATCTCCCTGGCAACCTGCCTCAGTATCCTCTACTGCCTGAAGATTACCAATTTCTCTCACCATGCTTTCCTCTGGCTCAAGTGGAGGGTTTCCCATGTGGTTAGATGGATCCTGCTGGGCTCTGTGCTCCTCTCCTTCTTTAGTACATTGATATTGATGATAGATTTTGGTATTACTGTTAGTTCCAGACAAATGAGACTCACAGCAAACAGCACTAGAGGCAGGAGGAGAAAGGAAAGTGCTTATTTTTTCAAGTATATTTTTGTTGCCCTCTGGATGGTCATCCCCTTTACTTTCTCCTTGATTTCCTATGTTCTGATCATCCTCTCCCTTAGGAGACACACCCAACAGATGCAGAACAATGCCACTGGCTCCAGAGACCCAAGCACTGAGGCTCATGTGAGAGCAACCAAAATCATCCTCTCTTTCCTTTACCTCTTCATTGTGTATTTGGTCGCCTTTTTTCTTATTGTACGGGGCTTTTTTCTGCCATATGGTAATATCGCGTGGATGACTGGGGAGATGATTTTGGCTGCCCACCCTTCTGTACACTCAATCATCCTCATTTTTGGCAACAACAAGTTGAAACAGGCAGTCCTGGGGATGTTCCAGATAAAGAAGTAGGGCATAAAGAGTGGAACAAGATGATCCTTCACCTCAAGAAAAAAAGAAAAAAACAAGCATTTATTAAGCATCTGCTATGTGTCAGCCACTGTGTTAACTGCTCTACAAATACTTCATTTGATCCCCATTTTACAGCTGAGGAAACTGTGGCAGACAGAGGTGAAGTGACTTCCCCACAGTCATCCAACTGGTAAGAATCTGAGGCTATATTTGAACTCAGGTCTTCTTAACTCTAGGCCAAGAGCTTTATCCACTGTGCCAACCAAACTTGAAGAACAGAGATGGGATACAGAACCTTTCAATCTGGCTCAAATCTAGATTCCTGTGCCTTCCCATCCTCTCCAGAATGCCCCTGTCCTACAATTCCAGGTTCTATTTAACCCCAATTAAGAAAGAGATAGTAACTCATCTGTTCCACTGTACCAATATTATCAACAAGAGGCTCTGTCATAGTGAAATCTACATTTGTCACTGTCTCTCTGCAATCGCTTTCAGGAGAGAAGTACATATTTTCTGGAAAAAGTCATTAAAGCTAGAAAACAATCTCTAGGAGGCAGAGCCAGGATGGTAGAGAAAAGGCAGGAAGTTGCCTGAACTCTCCACAATTCCCCTCAAAACTGTTTTAAATCACACCTCAGAATAAATTCTGGAGTGACATTACCCACAAAATGACAGAGTAAAACAGTTTTCCTGCTCAAATAACCTAGATGGACTGCTGGAAAGGTCAGTCTCATTTAGAAAAAAGGGGAGCTCAGGCCAGCACATATCATATGCAGGGCAAGCCAACAAGAGGTACCTAACACCAGCACAGATCAGCAACAGAGGCCCCACAGCTGGTTCAGCAGGAGAGGGGCACAGCAGTTCAGCCATGAGGCCTCCAGTCCCTGCACATCAGGTGAGCTACCAGCCCCAGAGGACTCAGTATAGCAAGTCAGTGACCAGGCCCCAGTGCAAGAAGTTTGGGACAATGCTCACAAATTAACCAGGACCAGAACTCAACTTTAAAAGTCATGAAATAGGCTGGAAAAGGAGCCAAAAAAAAACCCCTGATCATGGAAAGTTACTAGGATGACAGTGAAGATCAAAACACAAATTCAGAAGAGGACAACAATGTCAAAATGCCTACATGCAAAGCCTCAAAGATAAATATGAATGGGACCATGAGAATAGCTCAAAGGGAAAATTAAAATCAAATAAGAGAAATAGAAAAAAAATTGGGAAAAGAATGAGAATTATGCAAGAGAATCATGAAATAGGCATCAACAGCTTGGTAAAGAAAGAAAAAAGTGGAAAAAGATGAACAAAAATTGACTGAAGAAAACATCTCCTTAAAAAGTAGAAATGGCCTAATGGGAAAGGAGGTGCAAAAGTTAACTGAAAAAAATAATTCCTTAAAAATTAGAATTGGGCAAGTAGAAGCTAATGACTCTATGAGACATCAAGAATAAATTAAACAAAATCAAAAGAATGAAAAAAGAGAAAAAAATGAAAAATGCCTCATTGGAAAAACAATTGACCCCAAAAAATAGATCCAGGAGAGATTACTGGACTACCTGAAAGCCATGATAAAAAAAAAAACAAAAAACCAGCCTGGAAAGCAACTTTCAAGAATTTATCAAGGAAAATGCCCTGATATCCTAGAAAAAAGAGGGTTAAATAGTAATTGAAAGAATCTACCAATCACCTCCTAAAAGAGATCCCAAAATGAAAACTCCCAAGAACAATATAGCCAAATTCCATAACTCTCAAGTCAAAGAGAAAATACTGCAAGCAGCAATATAAAAACAATTCAAATATCAATGAGCCACAATCAGGATTACACAGGATTTACTAGCTTCTACATTAAAGGACTGGAGGGTTTGGAATATGATATTTCAGAAGGCAAAGGAGCTAGGACTACAACTGAGAATCGCCTACCTAGCAAAACTGAGCATAATCTATTGGAGGGAAAAATGAACATTCAATGACATAGGAGACTTTCAAACATTCCTGACAAAAAGACCAGAGCTAAACAGAAAATTGGATTTTCACATAAAAGATGCAAGAGAAGCACAAAAAAGGTAAACAGGAAAGAAAAAAATGTAAGTTATTTAATAAGATTAAACTGTTTACATCACTGTATGGAAATATGATACTTCTGACTCTTAAGAACTTTATTTCTATTAGAGCACTTAGAAGGAGTATTCATAGATAGAGGGTGCAGGTATAAGTTGGCTTTGATGGTATGATATAAAAAAAATTAAGAGGTGAGAAGGAGAATTGCATTGGAAGAAGAGGGAAGGGATAGGTAGAATGGGGTAAATTATATCACATGAAGAGGTACAAAAGACCTATTACAGTGGAAAGAGAGAAGGGAGAGGGGTGAGCATGCCATGAATCTTACTCTCTTCACATTTGACTCAAAAAAGGAATAACATACACATTCAGTTGGGAAATAGAAAAGTGGGAAGGGAGGGAGACAAAAGGGGGTCTGATAGAAGAAAGGGCAGATTGAGGGAGGTGAAGGTCAGATGCAAAACATTGGTGTGGAGGGACAGGGTGAAAGGAAAAAGAGAGAAAAGTATAAAGAGGGAAGAAATAGGATGGAGGGAAATATATAATTAATAATCATAACTGAATGTGAATGGGATGAACTCACCCAAAAAATGGAAGTAGATTAAAAATAAAAATCCTACAATATGTTGCTTACAAGAAACATATTTAAAGCAGAGACACACATATAGAATCAAGGTAAAAGGCTGGCCCAGAATATATTATGTTTCAGCTGAAAAAAAAAAGAAAAAAGCAGGGGTAGCAATCATGATCTCAGAAAAAGCAAAAGCAAAAAATGGATCTAATTTAAAGAGACAAGGAAGGAAACTACATCTTGCTAAAAGATACCATAGACAATAAAGTAATATCAATACTAAACATGTATGCACCAAATGATGTAGCACCCAGATTTATAAAAGAGAAGTTAAATGAATTACAGGAGTGAATAGACAATAAATCTATACTAGTGGGAGACCTCAACCTCCCACTCTCAGAACCACATAAATCTAACCACAAAATGAACAAGAAAGAAATTAAGGAGGTAAATAGAATTTTAGAAAAGTTAGATATAATAGACCTCCAGAGAAAATTGAATGAAAGGAATATACCTTTTTCTCAGCAGTATATGACCCCTACACAAAAACTGACCACATATTAAGGTACAAAAACCCACAACCAAATGCAGAAAAGCAGAAATATTAAATGCATCCTTTTCAGATGATGATGCAATAAAAATTACATACAATAAAGGGTGAAGGAAAGACAAATTAAAAATTAATTGAAAACTAAATAATCTATTCCTAAAGAATGAGTGGGTCAAAGAATAAATCATATAATCAATCAATAATTTCATCAAAAGGAACAGTAACAATGAGTCAATATATCAAAATTTATGGGATACAGCCAAAGCATTACTTAGAGGAAAATTTATATCTCTAAATGTTTACATCAATAAAACAGAGAAAGACTAGATTGATGAATTGGGTATGCTACTAAAAAAAGCTAGAAAAAGAACAAATTAAACATCTTCAATTAAACACCAAATTGGAATTCCTGAAAAATCAAAGGAGAGATTAATAAAAGTTAAAAAAGAAAACCATTTAAATAATAAATACAACTAAGAGCTAGTTTCATGAAAAAATATAAAAAAGATAAACCATTGGTTAATTTGATTTTAAAAAAAAAGAAAGGAGAAAGTCAAATACTAAGGATCAAAAATGAAAAGAGTGAATTTACTACCAATGAAGAGGAAATTTAACCAATAATTAGGAGCTACTTTGCCTAATTATATGCCAATAAATTTGACAATCTAAGGAAAGTGGATAAATATTTACAAAAATATAAATTGCCACAATAACAGAAGAAGAAATAGAATAAATATTCTTTTTTTAAAAAAGAAATAGAACAAGCCATCAATGAACTCCTTAAGAAAAAAATTCCCAGGACCAGATGGATTCACAAGTGACTACCAAACTTAAAGAACAATTAATTCCAATACTATATAAACTATTTGGGAAAATAGGCAAAGAAGGAATCCTACCAAATTCCTTTTATGACACAAAGATGGTGCAGATACCTAAACCAAGAAGAGCAAATCAGAGGGGGACAAACTATATCCCAATTACCCTAATGAATATTGATGCAAAAATCTTAGCTAAATACTAGCAAGGAGATTACAGGAATATATCATGAGGATCATACACTATGATCACAAGGGATTTATACCAGGAATGCAGGGCTGGTTCAATGCTAGGAAAACTATCAGCATAATTGAACATATCAATATCAAAAACAACAGAAATCATATGATTATCTCAAAAGATTCAGGAAAAGCCTTTGGCAAAGTATAACACTCATTCCAAATAAAAACACAAGTGAGCAGAGGAATAGATGGAGCTTTCCTTGAAATGATAAATAGTATCTGTCTAAAAACATCAGCAAGGATTATCTGTAATGGAGATAAACTAAAACTCTTCCCAGTAAGATCAGGGGCGAAACAAAGATGCTCAATATCACTACTATTGTTCAATATTGTACTAGAAATGTTAGCTGTAGTAATATGAGAAGAAAAAGAAATTAAAGGAATAGGCAATGAGGAAATAAAACTATCACTCTTTGCAGATGATATGAAGTATACTTAGAGAATCCTAGAGAATCAAGTAAAAAACTCATTGAAAAAATTAACAACTTTAGTGAAGTTGGAGAATATAAAATAAATCCACATAATTCAAAAGCATTTCTATATATTGCAAACAAAGTCCAAGCAGAAAGACATAGAAAAGAAATTCCATTTAAAATAATTGTAGACAATATAAAATACTTAGGGGCCTACCTGTCAAAACAAACCCAGGAATTATATAAACACAATTACAAAACACTTCTCACACACATAAAGTCAGACCCAAACAATTGGGAAAATATTCATTGTTCGTGGGTAGACCCAGCCAATATCATAAAGATTACAATTC